AGCCATGGACCTGAAGAGTCTGTATAGTGAGGGTCAAGTCCGAATGGGCGGCTGAGACTGACGGGGACTGGATCAGGATATCATCCAGGTAGCACTGGATCCTGACTGGGACCAGCCGCAAGTGAGCCGCCAACACTGCCAGGATTTTGGTAAAGACCCTGGGGGCTGAAGAGAGGCCGAAAGGAAGGGCTCTGTACTGAAAATGGTGGTTGAGATAGCAGAATCTTAAGTACCTGCGATGAGCTGGGAGAATAGGGATGTGGAGGTATGCCTCCTTCAGATCTATGGATGTTAATAAATCTCCCGGCCTGATACTGGTTAGGATGGAGTGCAGTGTTTGCATTTTGAACCGTTTGTAATGAAGGTGAAGATTCAATCCCTTGAGATCGAGGATTGCCCTCCATCCCCTCGAAGACTTTGGGACTACAAACAGGATTGAGTAATATCCCTGCCCCACCTGGCTTGGGGGAACCTCCTCTATCGCCTTGATGGCTAGTAGATCCTGTATAGCGTCCTCCATGAGTCCCCTCTTTACTGGGTTTCTCATGGCTGGGCAAGACACAAAGTGATTGAATGGAACGGATTTGGACTCCAAGGACAGGCCTTCCCTTATGGTACGCAACACCCAGGAGTCTGTGGTCGTGTTTTCCCATTGGCGAGTAAAGTGAGTGAGCCTGCCACCAATGGGGGCATTTCCCTCCGAGTCATTTGCCTCGGCGGAAGGACCGACCACCTCGGCCATGAAAGGAATGTTTGGGTTGTGGCTGGTACCTGGACTTGTCTCTATAACCTGTCCTGTACAGTGAGTGCTCCTGTTTGGGAGCGACCAGTCGGTACGGTTGTGCCGACTCTGTTGCTGTCCCTGCCCGAAAGGGCTGCCGGCGACTGTAAGGGGTGAACCGTCTTGTGGACCTCTTTGCCATGTGGGAGATCACCTTTTGCTTCTGTTTATTTTCAACTAAGTACGGGGTTAGTGCATCCCCAAATAATTTGCCACTTTTGAAAGGGGCTATGGCCGTGCGCCACTTATGCTTACTTTCGGCTCTCCAATTTTTTAGCCACAGGAGTCTCCTAGCCACCACGTTGGAAGCCATAGCCCGGGCTGAATACAGAGAGGCATCGGCCATGTATTCAGATGTGGCAAGTATTTTTGTTAGGTCCTGATGCATTCTAGTTTCCTCAAGCGGGATTCTATCCTGCAGCTGACGCAGCCAGGTGATAGAGATTCTTGCAAAGAAGGAAGTGGCCATCGCTGCCTTCACAGCTCAGGCAGATGCCAACTGCGCTTTGCGTAAGGCCATTTCAGATTTTTTATCCTCTGCCTTAAGGGCGTCTGATGCATCAGCTGGAAGGCTGGCAGTGGAGAATAGCGGTGCCAGTGATTCATCCATTTTTGGGACCTCTAGTAGGTCTCCGAATGCCTTAGGCATGTCTACCATTTTGCGCTCAGATGCGCTCTGTGATGGCTGGGCTGCTGGTGATTCCCACTGTTCCTGAACATTTTGGAAGAACAACTGTGGACAAGGGATATGGAGGTGCGTGTCTACAGGCACAGCAAACAAATGATTGGTTTCCTGATCGGAGGAAGGCTGAGGGGTTGGTACCGACTGAGGGGAAAGCTTACTTGCCTCGCACACTCTGCGTAACAAAGCCGGAAATAGTGAAGCATTAAAAAGCTCCGCCATGAGTTGGGATTCGTAAGATGGTTCCTCGCAATCCGACCAACCGTCCTTGCCTCCCCTGTAATCTGAAACATCTGGTTCCGAATCAGGGGATTGGGAGGGAGAGACCATACCTGATTGATCCAATGGAGGCCTCACGGCAGTTGTTGGTGCCGAAGAAGAGGATGGTCCTGGAACGGAGGGGGCTTGTTGATGACTCGCTTGGCACACTGCCTGTGATATTCACATTTGGAGCTGGTCAGAGACGGATTGCTCTAGCGGAAGCCTTAACCCCATAGCAGGTGGTGTGCTGGCAGCAGTGGGCGCTGCAGATGAACCTGGCAAGGCAAAGTTCTCCCCAAACACGGGTGGGCCTACCTGACCAAGGGTCCGAGTTGGGACCTGTTGATACCCATCTCTGGCGACCATACTCTGGATGTGGATGGTTGAGGCTCTCCCCCGTCCGGTGGTGCGGAGGTCGGCAATGTGAGACCTCCTTCAGCAGACAAGCATCGGGCCTGGGAGAATTGCTTCTCCAGGGCTCTGTGGGTGAGTTCAGCCAGTTTGTCGCTCACCGCGCCAGCTTTCCTGCCGTGCTTAGATTTGGATCTCACCTCGGGTGCCGGCTCAGTTGAGGCGGAAATGACGTCCATGTCCAAGGAACGTGGCTCAGAAGGGTCTGCCATTTCCATCGAAATCAACCCAAAGTTGCCTTTGGCCTGATTCGTTCTGCAAGGGACATCAGAGGCCCCCGCGGGGGACTGACCTATGTGGATTGGGTGGAGAAGAATCACACGTGTCCCACAGTAGTGGTGATGGTCAGGATGCTGGAACAGCCACCAGATTCAGAAGGGGCAGAGAGGCAATATGGCGACCAGGCTGAAGAACCAGAGCTGCTGTTGGTACCACACTCTTGCTCACTGGTGTCTGGATCAGGTGATGGCTGAAACTAAGACTCAGATGAAAAAGTCAGCAATTTTGTTAATCAATCTAGTTTAATACAATTAACATTTGTAGTTCACCCCCCGTTATTGCATTCAATTTAGATTTTTTTTTAAATTTTATTTTTATTTTTTTAATGGTGACTGCCAGCGAGATTGAGCCTCCAAATGGCGGGCTCTGTGAATGTTCTCCTGGAGGGAATAACAGGAGGGGGAGTAAAGAAGGGGGTGTGTGAGGGATAGAATTAATGCTGCAGTGCAAGGGACCAGTGACTGCCACAAACAAGGTAATTGGAATCTATTTGGCCCAGTGCATGAAGCAGGGGATTGTGCCTAACAGCCGTTAGGCGCAAAAGGCTTTACCACTGCCCCACGAGGCTCCTAACGCTTCTGCGGTGGCTTTAAGTGATTGTAAGGCCACCGTTGGGCTTTCCCTTGTCGCAGCAATAATAAGGTGTTTAGAAGTGAGATTAGGCCTTTTGAAATTTAAATGGCGGCCGCTAAGAGTCCCTAGCCGAGCCTGGCCAGGGAGAGGCCACGAGGCTGCAAAAATGAAAGCAGTAAGGAAAGGAACCGCGCACGTGAAACTGAGATCTTTCAACAACCCCTTTGAAATGCGTACAGGTTAAACCTCCCCCTCCCCCACTGTTTAGGGCGAGGTTCGTTTGCTGATTCAGCAGGATACTGAATCTGGGGAAGTGAAACCCCCCCCCCTTTCCTTGGAAAGTTTTAACCTAACCCTGAGGAGGTGAATGCAGCAAATCCTTACAGAGGGGAAACAAAACTCTCACTAAGCTGCTAAACTCTTTTAAAGAATCCACCAATGAGTAAATTTTCTATCAGACCTGCTCCAATGTAGAGAGAGTCAAGAAATCATGTTTGTATGGGTGAAGACCAAGAAGAAAACTGGGAGGTCCCCAGATAATGAGGAGGCGTGACAACTTGACAACTTGGTCTGATTGGGCAGGAGGACTGAAATAACCCATTGGTGCATTCTGCTGTCATCATGCTGGAGAAACAGATGATATCACTACTTTAGCCATCAATATATAGCCAGGAATTTTTTGATCATAGGATGGGAACAATCATGAATGCACAATATGGCATATTCAGTATTGAATGACCACTTTAAGTAATGGATAGGTTTACAAGCCCCACTTGTCTGATTACTAACTTGGTGGTGGCTCTTTCTCCTGTCCTTCAAGACCATTCTCTATGTCCTCTATAAATACCTATGGAGAGAAATGGCATCCCCCATTTCATCCATGTGACATCATTTACAAATTCTACACTCTGCTATCTTCAATTATTATTCTACCTGGTAAGACAAAAATAAGAGAGCCACCTAGAATACTCCATGGTGAGAGAGGTGGCAAATAAATTTAACAAATAAATAATCAGAGAGTAAGATTATTCAGAAATAGGATATCTCAAAAAGGAACAAGTTAACTTTTGATGCACAGCCATCTTGCCTCAAAAAACAATTTTTGTTCTAGGGGAAAGTGCCAGATGACTTCTTGTTCTAAAACCCTTTTCACCACTCTTCTTTCTTGTGATTTAGCAAAATACACATACACACATATAAGCCCAAAACTATTCACAAGAAAATCATTCCACTCTTCTGTTGGTTTGGCACAGTGAGTTTCTCTCAAAACATAAACTCAAACTAGATGTTGTGGTTCCTCAACTGCCAGCAGATCCGGCAGCCAACTTAGATGAATCAGATGAGAGGGAAGGGGTGCCTGGGTTCACATGGGAATCTGCAGAAGGCTCTGAGGAGCAAGACGATTCACAGCCAGATGTAGAGCCGGGCCCATCTACTCACGCTCAGGCAGAGAGACAGCTGGGTTGGGGGCCGAGTGAAGAGGAGGAACAGCTGGGGCCTGTCGCAGATGCACGTATGCACAGAGAGGAGAGGCATGCAGGACAACGGAGGGTGGTGGGGCAACTCTCCAGGAAAAGTAAGAGACTCTAAGAAGCCATGCCCTGGCTGGACTATAAAGAGGAGAGGTATGGGAGGTGCCAGTTGCCACAGGCAACCATTCATGCTCCAATATCTTGTTTCTCTGTCAGATTTCTTTTGTCAGGACTCTTTGCCAATTATCCAGGTTTTTCAGATTTCTTTGTGTTTGGTTTGAATTGCTAACTGAGCCTTCCGGCTGAGAATTCAGAGACTTTGTACTTATCGCAGCCAAGTGGGAGCAGAAACTGCTACTATTTATTTTAATACCTAAGGACATGCCTTGTTAAAATAAAAAGGAGTTTTCCTCACAAGTAAGCTGTTGAGTAGCACTCACAAAGGCTGGGTCAGAACACTACACTGCTTTACAAAACTGCCATCTCAGAAAGGATCTCTTTGTACTTTTCAAAGCCAAATTAATATTTAATATATACCTACCTTGAGGGAAATAATTTGGCTGAACTATGCAGAGGAAAGCGTGAACAATGCGGAACAAAATCCCTATCGTTCCGGGCTCATAGTACGCGTTGGTGTTGTATATCTTGTGGGGAACATACCCAAAATCCAGAGTTTCAGAAGGCAGTTGGGGCAAAGGCTGCAGTTCAGAAATTGTTCTCCCACAGAATAATAAAAGAAGCAATAAATAAACTTCTCTAGCCATGGCTGACCAAACTCATAGACAGAGGCAGAACGGAGGTGAAGAACACTCTTGAGATGAGATGAGCTTTGCTGGGCATACACTTCAAAATGCTTTTCTCTGAGCTCTTCATAGGAATCTGGTTAATAAAAAGCGAAAAGAGCTGTTTAAAAAGTATCATCTCCTTCCTGGAAATCAGCAGATCCCCTATCCCAGAATGAATATAATATCCTATGAAAATTTAAATATCTGGTATCTTAGGATGAGGCATATTGAAAAAGATCTGTACCCATTACATAAGTCCTTTTATTACAAAGGAAAGAAGGAACCACCACTAGGTTCTTGTACAAAACTAAAATTTAGAATAATAGTTCTACTGTTAGCATTTTTCATCATTAAAAATGGGGTCTGGGATTAACCAATCATTAACCTTGGATCTATATCTACAGATGCAACATTTACCATTTTAACATGAGAATGGCAATTAAATAAAAAATCTGTGCCTTTTTTCTTTTTCCCTAAGTCTCCATGGTACACTGTAATGCAGTGGAAAAATCAGTGCAATGGATTGTGGATTTCTCAGCAGAATTTCGAAACGGTGGTATAGTCTCTTTCAAGTAAAACCTGGCAACTTCAAGAACAAAATGATGTAGTTTTCATGGCAACCAACCCGAATCAATGGTTTCTGGAGGCAGTTGGTACAGTGTTGTGGCATCACCTTCTTCTGGAATAGCTTTTCAACTTTCTGTCATTCAAATACTAACAAGAGTTGACCCTGCTTGAGCTTCCGGTGGTTAGCGTCGATGATGGCGGCTACATTGTAGCCATCCTCCTGGGACAGCGTGAGAACCGCGGAGCACAGCAGTCACCAGCTGTCCCGCGGCTCGAAACCCCCCTCCCGGGCGAAAGGAGGGGGGAGAGAACCACCCGAATAGAGGTAGAGCATCTCAAACCCCCCAGGGATTTTTTGGGGGGGGTGGAAAGAGAGCTCCCTCGGAGTTTGGGTTGCCTCCGCCTCCCAGCTGTCTTTGTTTCCCTTTGGGAACAAAGTGAAACGCCGCTACCATCTCCGCGCTTAAAGGGATCGCGTGAGTGATTTTTTTTCTTAAAAAAGCGGACAGAGCTGGATAAAGGATTGGACTTATTGAGTTTTATTTGCTTTTTAGTTTAGGCTGATCTTTTTTTTGTTTGTGTGGAGAGTGAAAGTAAAAGGGCGATTTGAAAGTTTTTCGGGGGGGAAAGTGAGTTAAACGGAACGTTATGGACTATATAGCTTTTTCTTTTTAAACTTTTTAAACTTCTTTTTTTTCTGAAGGTGGTTTTGTGTTTTTGAAATATCTTTTAAACTCTCCTTTGTTTTTTCATTCTTTGAGGATTTCTTTTTTATTGTTTTTTTTAAGAAGGAAGAAAGAGGAAATAAGAATTTTTTTTTATTTTTTTTTTAAAATGGCTTCAAAAAGGCAAGCAGCTTCTACAGTTCCTAAGGTGGCTTCTTCTCCTGCGATTCTACTGGTACAACAACCTAAAGCTGCACCACCATCTTCTCCTCCTCTGCCAGTAATATCTGTACAAGATATGAAAGATATAATGGGAAATGCAGTAACTCAAATCAGAGGGGAAATGAAGGAGCTTTTAGATCAGAATAAAACTGAAATTAGAGGGGAAGTGAAGAACCTGCTAGAGAGAATAACACTATTTTGAGGCAAGATATAGTTATGGCTCTATCAGGACTTGCTTCTGTGGTTGAGAAGCTTGACTCTAGAGTTGAAGAGGTTGCAGATAAGGTTGAAATCTTGGAAGATAAGTTTGAAGGCATGGAAAAAAAGATGGAACTTTCACAAGATGACATTGTTATGTCTCAGTATAGGGAAATGGAATATGCTTTAAGAATCAGAGGTCTGAAAGAGGATATGCATCAAGATTTGACAGAGATTGTGGTGAATGACCTTGCTCTCACTTTGAAGAGGGAGAAAGAGGGAATACTTAGAGAAGTGGAAAAAGTATACAGAGTTAACTCTTGGGTCGCAAAACAGAAAAACTTACCAAGAGATGTGGTGATTTATTTTGCAAAGAGATCTCTGCGTAATGAAATTATACAAGCTTTCTATAACAAGAGGTTTCAGATTGCTGCTCAAGATGTCATTATTTTAAAGGAGATCCCATCAAAAATTTTAAGAAAGAGAAAAGATTTTGCTTTCTTAGCTAATGAACTTAAAAAAAGAATGATGCCATTCAGATGGGAGATTCCGATGGGTATTGTTCTGAGCCATGCGGGGACGCGTTATAGACTCAATACAGTCACTAAAGCAAAGGAGTTTTACAGTTCGGTCCTGGGAGCAGGCTCACCATCATCTATGATGCAGAGAGTTCTGGATGGTAAAGAGGTGGAACAGCAGTCTGAAGGACTAGGTGTGATGGTGGTTGGAGAGTTACAGTCGGAGTGGTCGCGACAAGCAGAGGTTAAAGAGCAAAGAATGACCCGTGCAGCGCATAGACGCAAGGAAAAGGAACAACAGAGGAAAGAAGTTAAAGAATCTCTTCAAGAAAGTGCTTCGTTGCCGGTGGGAGGAGCAAGACCCAAGAGTTCTGCAGCACATTCCTCAATGGCAGAACTTCAAGCAGTCTTCTCCAGGCTTCTGGTCAAGGGAGATGGTAAAGCTCCTGACCTGGAATGCTAATGGCCTTAATTCCCCTCAGAAGAGAAAGAAAATCTTTCACTATTTAAAGCAACATAATAATGATATTATTTGTTTGCAGGAAACACATATTATAGCTAAAGATCAAAAATATTTAGTCAATGCTCGTTTGGGATCTCATTTTGTATCTTCTGCTCCTGGGAAAACAGGGGGCATAGTTATTTATGTTAAGCAAAACTTATCAGCCTGTTTGGTAGAATCCGATTCTCAAGGGAGATATGTTATGATCGAAGTTGGCTTATATGGTAAGAAAATATACTTATAGTCGGATTGTACGCACCAAACCAACAACAGGAACAATTTTATAGATTACTACATCAGAAATTAACTTTGTTGGATTATAGATCTGTCATATTAATGGGTGACTGGAATGGTGTTTTAGATACACAAAGAGATAAAAAAAGGATCCTCTATTTCTTTTAAACAGGCTAAATTACCTAAAGCTTTTTTTGATTTGAAAGAGGACTGGGAGCTACGAGACTACTGGCGTGAACGCAATCAGGAGGAGAGGGACTTTACTTTCTTCTCAGATAGACATCAATCTTTCTCAAGAATTGACTTTTTCTTGATTACAACTGATTTATATTTTAGGGTGAAGAATGTTAAAATTTTTTCCAGGACATTGACGGATCATAGTCCAGTTTGGATGGAGTTGGTTGATGAAAGAGAGGTGAGGAGATCATGGAGGATGAATGAAAATTTATTTAGACAAGAAAAGAATGTTCAAAAATTAAAGGAGTACTTAAAGGACTATTTTGTTTTAAATATGCATAAGGGAACTTCAATGCCAATGGTATGGGATGCAGGTAAAGCTTTCATGCGTGGGATTTTGATACAAATGAATTATGCTCATAGACAAAAGCAGATGCAGAAACGTAAGGAATTGGAAGATGAGATTAAATTAAAGAAAAAATTTTGATCTCAAATCCTACAGATGAAAAGGCTAAAGAATCTATAAAATTGCTTAAAACATATTGATGGCTGATCAAACTGCAACTAACTTACTGTATATGAAACAAAATATATTTTGTAATGCTAATAAACCAGGGAGATGGTTGGCTTATCAATTAAGAAAGAAACAGAGACAGAGAATTATAGATAAAATAAATTATAATGGTAAATTGGTATACCATAAGGATTTGATTAAGAAATCTTTTTTAGATTATTATCAAAAATTATATAAGAGTACTAAAATACAGGTTTTAGATATAGATAATTATCTAAATGAAGCCAACTTCCCTAAATTAACAAGATCAGAAACAAGAAATTAATGGTTTAATTACTAGTGAGGAAATTGAGACAGTGATTAAAGAATTAAAATTAGGTAAAGCACCGGGTACGGATGGTCTGACATCTATTTATTATAAAACTTTGGTACAAGAGATGATTCAACCTTTAAGAGAGCTTTTTAACAATATATTACAGGGTTTAGAGATTCCCCCGTCACGGGGTAGAGCTTTTATATCTTTAATCCCAAAAGAAGATCAAGATCTTACTTTACCAAAGAATTATAGACCTATATCTCTTTTAAATATAGATTATAAGATCTTTGCAAAAATCTTAGCTAATAGGTTCATGAGGGTTTTGCATCAGGTTATACATAAAGATCAAACAGGTTTCATAACTGGAAGGTACATGAAGAATAATGCCAGACAAATTATTAATTTATTAGAATATTTAGATAAAAATAATCAAGTTTCTGCAGGATTGATTTTTTAGATGCTGAAAAAGCTTTTGATCAAGTGAATTGGCAATTTATGTTAAGATTAATTGAGAAAATGAATTTTGGAGAAAAAATTTTACAAGCTCTTGGTGTTATTTATCAAAAGCAAACGGCACAACTTATAGTTAATGGGGGTTTATCAGAGGTTTTTACAATAGAAAAGGGGACTAGACAGGGATGTCCATTGTCACCACTGCTGTTTGTTTTAACTTTGGAAATATTGCTGATTAAAATTAGAGAATCACAGGAAATAAAAGGAATAGAAGTTAATAAAAAAGAATATAAATTAAGAGCTTTTGCAGATGACTTGGTGGTTACCCTGTCCCAATCTACTTATTCGGTAGTAGAGTTATTACAATTGATATACCAATACGGACGGGTTTCGGGTTTTAAAATTAATAACAATAAGACTAAAATATTACCCAAAAATATGACTAATTTGGATAAGCAGACTTTGGTTAAGTTGACAGATTTTGAGGTTGTTGATAAGGTAAAATATTTGGGGGTTATTTTATCGGTTTCTAATGCAAAATTGTATAAAAATAATTATGAAAGGTTGTGGGTCAGGATACAAAGAGACTTGAAAAATTGGGAGAAGTTGCAATTATCTCTTTTGGGAAGAATTGCGGTGATCAAAATGAATGTTCTGCCAAAGTTCCTTTTTTTATTCCAAATGATACCTATTTTAAAGAATGAGATTAATTTAAATGAATGGCAGAAAGGTATCAATAAATTTATTTGGGCGGGGAAAAAACCAAGAGTAAAGCTTAAAATAATACAAGACACTCGTGAGAGAGGCAGACTCAAGGTACCGAATTTGAAATTGTACTATGATGCGGTGGTCTTAACATTAATTAGTGATTGGGTTAATTTAACAAATGTAGAAATACTCCTCTTGGAGGGTTGGGATTTACTTTTTGGATGGCATGCCTATTTAATTTTTAATAAAAAAGTTGACAGGGTTTTTAAATCTCATATTATAAGGATTTCTTTATTTTGGGTTTGGAGGAAATATTATAGAAGTGATTTTAAAATCCCATTATGGGCTATACCCTGGCATGCGATAGAGGGGATAAGGAGAGGAGTCAAGATGGATGGTGTTTTTTATGCACAATTACTTAGATGGGATGGTAAAAATTGGCAGTTAAAATCTTTGGAAGATCTAGCACAAGAAAATATTATATACTCATGGTTTCAGTATAGACAAATAGTGGATAGATGGAAGTTAGACCGTAATGTGGGTTTACTTAGAGATGATGAAAATTTTCTTAAACAAGTAAAAGACCAAAGACGAACTCATATTAAGAGAATTTATGGGGTGCTAGTGGAACTGGATTCAGAGGTAGAATTAATTAAAGAATGTATGATTAAATGGGCACAAAATTTTGGTGAACCAGTTCTACTAGATACCTGGGAAATTATTTGGGTGAGGAATGTCAAATTTACACAAGCCCAGAATTTAAGGGAGAATTTTTATAAAATGTTTTAAAGATGGCACCTTGATCCACAAAAAATGTCTCGTATGTATCCTGACTTACAGCCTAAATGTTGGAGATGTGGTTGTTTGGATGCTACTTACTATCATATTTGGTGGTCGTGTACAAATATAAAAGCCTTTTGAATTAAGATATGGTGGAATATCCAAAGAATTTTTAGAAGGAGGGTAAAATTTACTCCACAATTGTTTTTGTTAGGTATTATAACTGATTGTGATACTAAAGAGACCACATTGATGTTAAATTTAATTACAGCCGCAAGGCTGCTAGTAGGGCAATGTTGGAAGAAGGAATCTTTGCCTACTTTGCAAGAGTGGTTTTTTAAAGTTTCTTATTTGGCGGAAATGGCAAAGATTTCAGCTTTTTTGAAGGATCAATCGCAGGAGAAGTATTTTGCGGTATGGAAAAAATGGATAGATTTTATACAATATAAGTTGGATATCAAAAAATATTATCTAGTTTTTCAATAACTTATATTTAAAATTTAAAATATCTTATAGATTTTATTTTCTTTTTTTAATTTTATTTTTTACTCTTATTATACTTTCTTTTATCTTTTTCTTTTTTCTTTTTCTTTATTCTTTTTTTTAAGTATTATTCTTTTGATATTTGTGTTTTTTTATATATATATTATTGCTAATTATCTTATAATTTGTTTAATTAATGTATTTAGTATTTAGACTTATTCATGGTTTATATTTTTTTCTTTTTTTAAGACTTTTTGAAGAAATTGTAATTAAGCCTATGTTCAGCTCTGGGAAGGTCGGGAGATGGAATGGGAGGGTTGGGGAGGTTTGGGGATGGGTTGTTTTGTTTTTGTAAAATTTCAAAAATTTAATAATAAAAAAAAAAGAGTTGACCCTACTTAGCTTCCAAATCCAGAGAAGGGCTTCAGGCCACTGACATCTGCTGATATGTAGAAAGTGGTAATTCTTATATACAAACACATATTTTATTGCATCACACTACAGTATAGTTCAGTGGTGGCAAATCTTTTAGAGACCGAGTGCCCAAACTGCAACCTAAAACCCATTTATCGCTGGGTGCTGGGTGGGTGTGGCCAACTGGGTGGGTGTGGCCTTGGTGGTCACAGCCAACTGGGTGGGCGTGACCACAGTGGGTGTGGCCACCTCGATGATGCTTCTGGGGAGAGACGCTTATGGGGGCCCGGCAGGGTTGGGGGAGATCTAGGGGATCTCTGGTGGGTGGGGCAGTGGACCAGAGGTTCATCCTGTGGGGTGAGGCAAGGCGAGGCAGGGCGGGTGTGCCAATTGGCATGGGGCAAGGCAAGGCAGGGGCTGGAGCAGCTCTGCCCCCACACAGAGAGGCCAGCGAGCACATGGGGGCCGCCAGTGTCCGTCAGTAGCCACAGCCTCCTGCCTAATGGCAGCCTCCTCAGCGTGAGTGAGACAGCCCCAGGACAGCCGGAAAGGAGCCCTCACCTGGTGCGGGTCCTATCTACAGGGTGACTCTGACGGGGGTGGCAGCTGCTGCTCTGAGCCCCTTGACTGGCCAACCACACAGAGAAGCAGGAGGAGGCGGCGAAGATCCCTGCATCGCCAAGCCCAGCCAGCGCAGATCTGGAAGCAAAGCTGTGCCAACCAACTTTGCACTGGTGGGGGCAGTAGCGGGGGAAGGTGAGCTGTGGCACACACCCTCCCCTCCCCGCCCCACCCAGAGGCGCTCATGGGACAATATGTGGCAGCAGCAGCAAAGGATGCCCACATGCTAGATCCTGCCTTCCCCCCCCCTCCGCTGCTGCCAGTGGGAGGTTAATTGGCAGAGCTTCACTTCCGGATCTGCTGCCTGACGCTATCGGCCCCCACACACAGAGGCCAGTGAGTGCATGGGGGGCAATGGTGTCTGTCAGCAGCCACAGCATGCTGGCTGTCCTGCATAATGGCGGACTGGCCACAGAGCCCCATCGGTGTGGGTGGAAATCACTCCGGGATAGCTGGAAGGAAGCCTTTGTCCAATCTGGGCACATCCATTCGACGGATCTGATGGGGGTGGCTTCTGCTGCAGGGAAGCAGGAGGAGGTGGAGGGGCAGCCAGGGGTCTGGAGCCCCCTCGGCTGCTCACTAGCAGCCCAACGAGGCAGCGGATTCACGCATCCACTGCCTTCTACTTCCCTGCAGGGCTGACTGGTCAGAGCAGCAGCAGAAACCACCCCCATCAGATCCGTCGAGTGGATGTGTCTTCTGAAAAGACATTTCAGTCGTGTCCTTTTGCTCCAGGCTGATTAATCCAAATGAAACCTGTTAAAGGAAGGAGAGATTATATATACTTGATCTTAGCCAAAAGAAGCAAAAGGTTTGTAAATGCTTTCTGCTTTTCAGCACACAAATGGATCCTGACTTGGCCTAACATTTTACCCGTATCTAGAAGAAAAACAAGTAGAATGGAAGGCCACCAAAAACATTATAGTCTGTTGTTTTCATTTTATCCCAAACTGGTTGTTTTCTCCTGGCACATTTCACACATTCGTAATTGAAGATGCTTACTTGTGATATGGCAAAGAAGGAAACCATGAAGATGGGGCTTTCTTGCAATCAGAAAATCTTTTCCTTCCTGGACTGGTCAAGGCAAAAATAGACAACTGTTATCCCTCCAACACCAGCTTCCAAACTAAAAAGAAGATAAAAGTAAAGACTAACTTAATAAAACTATTTATTATTAATTCTTTCCAAAAATGAATCTCTATACAACAGAGTTCACAAGCAACAGACAACATTCCCATAACATTTTTTTATCATTTGTGTTAATCTGTATCAAGATGTAAATCCCTTCAATGATGTCTTTTTTGATTTAACAGATAATTGGGAATAACAGACACTACCACCATCTCCTCCGTTTGGTCTTGAGATTTGACTGTAATATGAATATTAGCCAGCAGATTAGAGAAGACTGTTCAGCACAGAAGCTTCATTTTATATGGATATGGTGCCTTTAAGCTCGAAAGAATGATATACTGTATGCACACAGATGCTCTGTTAGTATAGCACTTAATCAGGGATATGGGGCAAAGAAGATGGTCAAAATCTGCAAGATGGCAGGCACAGCATTGTGATCAAACTCCTGAACATACACAAAATGGATGGGGCTTTGGCAGTAACTCCATGCCCACCATGCTGCTGATGTTGCAACAGATCTGGAGCCCTACTACACTTCTCTGGTTTATGTATGAAGCAGTTCATATTAACAATCAGGTGTCTCTGAAACAGGACTTTATTAAAACCATTTTCCCAAAATGAAGATATGGCAAATAACTATCCTAAAAATCAGCCATTTTTGGTGAAGACAAATAGTTACAAATCTCTCATCATGTTTTAAGCTGAAGGTTCTCATGTGCAAATGCAGGGGAAACTTTGGCAGATTACTTTACACACATAGGCTGTGTGAATCAGGAAACTGATTGTTTCAAGGAGGGGAGAGCTGGCTACAAGTCCCTGGCAAAACCCATTGTTGTAGCCCTGCATTTGAGCGATCTATTGTCTTTTGGAATTGTAAGGTTTTCCACGTAGCCTCACAATTGCCCCAGCATTACTCAGGAATTTAAAAGAGCCAAAGAAACTCCTGAGCCAAGGTTTCAGCAAGCAAACAACTTTTATTTTGATCAAAATAGAGTTGGGTGATCCCAATCTCTCTTCGTGGCTGGTAGAGAGATGAAGGCAACAACCAGAAAAGATGTCTTCCACCTTTTATACCTTTTCAGAACAAAAAGATCAGGTCTTGGTACCAGGCATAAGATGGCACAAAAAAAATTCCTAGATGATGACTCATACACAGCAACCCAGGCTCCATCTGTAACTCCTTTCCCCCCCTCCCCTTACTGTGCTCTTTTCATATAAGCAATCACCTATACCTAAAGCATGAAGCCCTTACTTTTCCAATATATATATAAAACATCTGATCAAGCAATTAACTACAAAATAATGATTACAAAATAACAAAACAATGATTACATGATACACTATAAGTATCAATATAAAATAGTTACTATATATAAAATAAATGCTAATGTCAAACTTAAACATACTAAAATCATAAGCACAATAAAATCCCTTCAGAATGCATTAATTTATTAGATTTATATCCCACCTTGATTTTGTACAAATGAAGGCAGCATATGTAATCCTCCCCTCATCTCTTTTTTCTCAAACAACCCCGGTTTGAAAGTGGATGGCTGGTTCAAGTCACTGTCTCTCTCACACACACACACATCATTATTGTGACTGGAGGATTAAAACTCAACTATTTCTGCTCCAACAAGAAAAGGCTAATATCTTCCAAAAGGAAACTCAAGCAATGTTACAAGCAATTCAAGAGGCAATTGCTACTCAAATGGCGGTTACAATGAGAACCATGAGGAGATGAAAAGTGATTTTGATAAAATGAATCAAAAAATTAATAAATGGGCTTTCAATTTGAAAATTTTAAACAGATGATTACAAATAACCAACAAAGAATCCAAAAAGTAGAAGATAAATCAACTGAGGTTGACCAGAAATTAGAAGTCTTAAAAGATGAAAATCAGAAATTGATGCAAATAAATTGAGAACTAGAAGACTCAATAGCTGTGATGGAGACGGAAAGAGCCTCATACTTTTTAAGATTTCAAAATATAATGGAAGATAAGGAAGAGGATCTTCTAGACCTGATAACGGAATTATTGGCAGACACATTAGGAATTGAGAAACAGGAAATGGAAGGAAAATTAGATCAGATCTATTGAGTCAACTCAAACTATGCTGGAAGAAATAAAGTCCCCAGGGAAGTACATGTTAGATTTCTCAAAAGATCTATAAGAGATGAGATTCTGAGAAGAGTAAGAGATGAACCTTTGAAATACAAAGAAAAAGAAATTTAATCCTGAAACAAATTCCTAGGTGAATAAGAGAATCCTGAAGCGAATATCAATTTCTAACTAGGAAATTAATTGAAAAAGAAGTGCATTTTAGATGGCTGATTCCAGAAGGGATTTTAATCTATTGGGATTTAAAAAGATATAGATTGGACATGCCACTTCAATAGAATCCTTTGACAATCATTGAGCATTTCTGGAAGGAGGTGATTTTGAATCTGGTACAAAGAGAGAAACAAAGAAACAGGAAGAAATGGCAGTAGAAGGAGCAGTCAAACCAAGAGAGGAGGAAGAAATTAAAAACACATACACAGAAGAAGGAGCAAGACCAAAAGATCAGAGACAGATAAGATCGATCAGAAGATTAAGACCTAGATATAACTGAAAGAGATGGAGAAGGAGAGTGGGATTTTGTCAATGAATATAAATGGACTAAATTCTCCCTCAAACAGGAGAAAATTCTTTACACGATTACAAAAATTAAAAATGGATATAATTTATCTCCAAGAAACACATATTAAAAGATACTATAAGTTGTTAGAACAACCGAAAATTGGCAAACTTCACTTTGCATTAGCCCCTCAAAAGAAAAGAGAAATAGCTCTATACATTAAAGAAATGATGAACCCTAAACAAATTTATGCGGATGAAGAGGGGAAAATATTAATGGTGGAAATAATGATGGATCAAAAACAGATACTGATGGTAGCAACATATGCACCACACGATAAACAAGAACAATTTTACCAAAAATTACATAAATAATATTAGATTTAAATTATCAAAATCTCTGTATAATGGGAGAATTAAATGCAATAACAGATGGAACTTTGGACTATAAAAGCACTAAACAAGGGAGGAAAGGAGGAAATATATTACCTAAAGCATTTTCAAAAATGACAGAAGAACTTTGTATCCAAGATATATGGAGAGAGAAAAAATCCAAAGAAATTACAATATACATTTTACTCAAATAGAAATAAATCATGGTCTCAAATTGATGTGATATGGACTTCTTTGGAACTTAATATGATGATACAAGAAATTGAGATAGAAACCAATGTTTCGGCAGATCATAACCCAATAAAGCTGACTTGGAGAGGAACCAAGAAAAAATTAAGATGGTCCATGAACAAATCTATATTATAAGAAAAAGAATTTATACAACTAGCGACAAAGGAAATGGATTTTTTCTTCAAAATAAACAAGAAAGAAAAAACATTGTTTCAAAATGTGTGGGATACAGCCAAAGCATATTTCAGGCGGTTGACTATAATCTATACTGCTAAAAAGAATAAAGAAAAGAAACAAAAGAAAATATTTAAGATACAAATGGAGATAATAAAACACAAATTAAATTTAGCTGAGATGGAAATAATGATTCAACAGATTAAAAGCGCTAAACAGAACTTTTTTAAAAATGCTAACAAGCTGGGGACATGGCTAGCATATAGACTGAAAAAAGAAAAAGAGAAAAAACTGATAAATAAGCTGATACAATTAAAAAAATTATCAAAGATTTTTATGATATACTTTACAATGCAGAGGAAATTCCAAAAGAAAAAATACAGCAGTATTTTAAAAAAGCAGACTTACCAAAAATTTCAGAGAATACTCAAAATATTTTAAATGGAGATTATAGAGGCTATAACAAGGCAAAAAAATGATAAAACTCCAGGTCCAGATGGATTACCTGCAGAGCTTTATAAATCATTACAAGATATACTAAGTCCTATTTTGAAAGAACTGTGTAATGAAATACTCCTGGGACTAAAATACCAAATACATGGACTGAAGCCAATATTACTTTAATACCCAAAGAAGATCTATTGCTGGTCTACGACCGTAATAAAGTTTATTATTTATTACCCAAAGAAGACTCTGATCTAAGACAAATAAAAAACTATAGACCAATATCGCTATTAAATGTAGACTATAAAATTTTTGCCTCAATAATAGCAGAAAGACTAAAGAAATTTTTGATCAAATTTATACATACAGATCAAAATAGTTTTCTACCTAAAAGACAGATAAAAATAATTTAAGAATGATTCTTGATGTGTTAGAGAACTATGAAATTCATCCAGGAAAACAGATGGCTTTAATATTTCTTGATGCACAGAAAGCGTTTGACAATGTAAACTGGCAATTCATGTTCCAGCAACTAGTGGAAATGGATTTTGGAGAAAACTTTATAAATATAATTAAAACAATTTATGGTAAACAAACAACCAAAATAATTGTAAATGGAGATTTTACAGAAAACTTTAACATTAAGAAAGGCACAAGACAGGGATGTCCACTATCTCCATTATTATTTATACTAACACTGGAAGTATTGAATAGAAACATCAGACAAGATATAGAAATTAAAGGACTGGAGATAAAATATGAAAAATATAAACTACAAGCATTTGCAGATGACTTGGTTTTTATATTGGAAGATCCACTGGAAACAAGCACTAAACTTATGGAGAAAATAGAAAAATTTGGAGAAGTGGCAGGGTTGAAAATAAACAGATCAAAGACTAACGTGTTAACTAAAAATCTAACAAAAAAACAAAAAAAAAACAACTAGGAAAAAACCCAATCTTCAAATAGTTAAAAAAGTTAAATATTTGGGAAATTACCTAACAGCAAGATGTGTAACAATAAAAGAAGATAACCATGTAAGACTGCTAAAACAAATAAAACTGGACCTGGAAAAATGGAAAAACTTACAACTTTCAATGCTGGGGAGAATAGCAACAGTGAAAATGAATATCTTACCAAAAATACTCTTTTTATTTCAAACAATTCCGGTAAGGCTGGGAAAATTCTTTTTTGCTGAACTGAATACAACAATACTGAAATTTATCTGACAAGGAAAAAAGCTAGAATTAGACTGAAAATGCTACAAAAAGGGAAAGAAAGTGGAGAATTTGGACTGCCGAATTGGATGCTATACTACCAAGCAACTATTTTAACATGGCTTAAAGAATTTATAATGCTTAAAGATAAAAGACTATTATACCTAGAGGGGCATGATCTACAAATTGGTTGGCATGTTTTCTGTGGTATGGGAAGAATAAAATACATAGATATTTTCAAAACCACATTGTAAGAAATGCACTTTTTTCAGAATGGGAAAAAATAAAAGCAAAAATTTATATTAAGATACTGTAAGGTTTTCCTTTTAACCTCACAATTGCCCCAGCATTACTCAGGAATTTAAAAGAGCCAAAGAAACTCCTGAGCCAAGGTTTCAACAAAGATTACAACTTTATTTTGATCAAAACAGAAAGGGGCTGCCTGATTCCTCTTCGTGGCTGGTAGAGGAATGAAGGCAAGGAAGCAGAAAAGATGTCTTCCACCTTTTATACCTTTCAAGAAGAAAAAGATCAGGTCTTGGTACCAGGCATAAGATGGCACAAAAAAACAATTCCTAGATGATGACTCATACACAGCAACCCAGGCTCCATCTGTAACTCCTTTTCCCCCTCCCCTTACTGTGCTCTTTTCATATAAGCAATCACCTGTACCTAAAGCATGAAGCCCTTACTTTTCCAATATATATATATATATATATATATATATATATATATATATATATATATATATATATATATATAGTATCTGATCAAGCAATTAACTACAAAATAATGATTATAAAATAACAAAACAATGATTACATGATAACACTATAAGTATCAATATAAAATGGTTACTATATATAAAATAAATGCTAATGTCAAACTTAAACATACTAAAATCATAAGCACAATAAAATCCCTTCAATACCTGGATGGATTTCAACAATGGAAGCTTTTGCTTACCCAAATTTAATTAATTATGACAAAGTTGTGACCTATAAAGATATCTTGGACAATGAAGGAAAACTGAAAGACAGACAAAATTTACAAGATCTATCATGGTGGCCATATTTGCAAATCAAAATAAGATGTGAAAAAGATGCTAAAATAATGGGATTCTATAAAGTGTTAGGAATAAAATTTTAGAATAAAAAGTAAAGTTAAGTGACACGTACTCTGTAAAATTTCTACACGCAGACAGAAAGATTTCTACACAAAATTTCTACAGGTAGACTGCAAGATTTCTACACAATTTCTACATGTACACGTACCTTGGAAGAGTTCTGCACGTAGGCTATAAGATTTCCACACTGAGCTATAGGATTTCATGATAAAGTACATATAAGGGAATAGGTGAAGCAAAATAGTAAGGGGCAGGGATAATGTATTTTGTTTAGGTGATCCTGATAAGATTGTAACCTCAGAGGAGGGGCCAAGGCGTCAGGATAGAATGTATATAATGTGTGTTTTTGCTGTGACCAGGTGTGGCTCAAATATTTATTTGGAGTCCACCATGCTTTGCAAACCGTTGTAGCCAATAAATCTCTGTCTAATTTCAACTTGCTGTTTGGTGTTATTCAGTGGGCTAGAATTTCTACCAACAGTTTCTACCAACGTGGGGCTTGAGACCGGGATCATTTGTCTGCACCAGATCCAGAAGGTGTGGTGGAAGGCATGCCCTGTCGATTTCAACAGTCTATCTCATCTTGTTGGTAAAGGAGCAGCAACGCTTTCCTCAGCGAACCCATAGAGTTGATATTAGACAGAGATACGAATTGAACCGGTGTGTGTGTTGCTGGCTTCTGGGAACTGGGCAACTCCGTGCACGGACCTAAGTAAGTGTTCTGGGGTGGCCAGTATACACTGCCTAGGCAGTCGGTGGGAAGACTGGGTAGGCCTGTGTGAATTTGAGACAGTGTGTGTGTGACATCCCAAGTATCCACTTAGCGAAAGTGGACCTCTGATATGCAAGTGCATATCTAGGGGGATCAGGGGGGAGTGAATTAAGGAATTTATGTGAAGTCTCAATTAGAATACACAGGACGGTAAACCAGTATGGGCAACACAGGGAGTACTCCAGGAAAGAAGTGTTTGAAAAAAATAAGAAGGAACCCCAAATTGAATATAGATAAAGAAAGTCCATTAGGGATTTTGTTGAGTAATTGGGGAAAACCTCCGTATAATGAAATAATTAGTAAATTAGACATAACCAAGGAAGATATGGTTAATTTGTGTTGTTTTGTCTGGTGGGAAGATGAAAAAGTAGAGTGGCCTAGATTAGGAACAAATGACTATTTTGCTTGTCAGAATTTATATGAGTATGTGTCAAGGAAAACATGTAAATCATTAGTCAATGAGTTAGACTATGTTTTAATTTGGAACCCAGGTAAATGGGTCACCTTGACTATGAGTGGCCCTAGCCCTCATAAAATAACCTCAATATATTTACAAGAAGAAGAGAAGAATGAAATAGAGGAAGAAGATGATGAAAAATCCATGAAATATTTACCCCCACTTTATAATCCTAATCTACCACAACCAACAAATGTACAAATACCTATTCCACCACCCCTACCAGCTCCTGTAACACAAGCCCAGAGAGCTGTGAGAGGTGGACCCTATAAGGTATTAGTAAAAGAATTGGAACAATTGAAGAAAGATATAAAGAATTTTCCCTTTAAGGATAAACCACTACAGGCTTTTCCTTTAAGAGAAGTACCCAATGGAGTAGATGGCCAAGGACAGGCTCGTATCAGTTTTGTACATGAGCCTTTAAAGGCATCTGAATTACGTGCCTTCAAGAAAGAAATGAAAAGCATGATAGAAGATCCAATAGGGGTAGCAGAGCAACTGGATCTGTTATTAGGAGCAAACATATACACATGGGATGAATTAGGAGTGATACAAAGCACGTTATTTACAGCAGAAGAGAGACAGTTAATTCAAAGAGCAGCAAGAGACATTTGGACAAGGGAACATAACCCCCAAGCACAGGGGGCAATTTTGGCAGATGCAAAGTTCCCTTTAGTAAGACCAAATTGGGACAATAATAATGCTGCAGATAGACAAAACATGGAAGATATGAGAGTATTATTAATAAGAGGAATAAAAGAAGCTGTCCCAAAAGCACAGAACATGAGTAAAGCTTTAATGATAGAACAAGAAAAAGAAGAATCTCCAGCTACATTCCTCCAAAGACTGAAAGACGGAATGAGGAAGTATTCTGGAACTGATCCAGATGACCCAGCAAATACTCTTCTGGTAAAAATACAATTTGTGGTAAAATCTTGGCCAGATATAAGTAAAAAGCTACAAAAGTTGGAGGGATGGACAGGGAAAAGTATAGATGACTTGTTGAAGGCAGCACAAAAGGTATATGTGCAAAGGTATATGTAGAGAAATTTAGGCAATGGAATAAAATGATGGTTGCCACAATAAACCAAGTAATAAAACAAAAGGAAAAGAATACAGAAGGAAAATGGATATTACCTGATGGATAGCAGGTGTTGAATAAAGCCATAACACGTGAAGTAATCCAAACACTCCATGAGGGTTTTAGAAGACGTGTTTCTGAAAGGTATGGCTACAGGAGAGTTTTCACTGTTGTGAAACCAATAACGGCCGGATGTCTCATTTTGCAAGAAAGTTAATAGGCAAGCTCTAAGAGCAAAGGAAATTGGGAGAGGAAAGGAGCTCATTGGCTTTTGAACAGTTCCTTAAAATTACAATAATAGTTATTTGTTTGTCAGGAGAAAGTATGAAATGAAATATCTGTATATGAAAGTGCTTATACAAGCAGTTTGAATGGAAATGAATGTGTGGATATGCTGATCCTGTGTGTGTGTGAGAGAGAGAGACAGAGTGTTTCTCCCCCATCCCAGACTGTGAAAGAAACAGTAAGCTGCAGATTTTTTTTTGTTACTGTAAAAGTGAAATGGAAAATGCATGTGAAGAGAAAACTATTTTGTTAGTGGTGAAATTGTGTAATTTCTTCTTCTTTTCCTGTCTCTTTTCCCCCACCCCCAGCTTGCTGTGTTGCTTTAAGAGCGAGAGAGAGGGAAAAAAAGAAAAGGGGAGGGGTCTGATCTTTTAAACTTTTTTTTCTGCTTAGAATTCTGGTTTGAGGAAGGTGAGCTGGATGTGAAATTTAATACCCATTCTTACAGTAAGAAATAAAGTTATTTTTTTTTAAATAAATGAAATATGAGAAGAACTGGAATACACCTATATAACCATTAACCAATAGAAATGACTTTGAATTGATTTGTTTAGATTTGTAAATGATTTAACCTATTTAATGGAAATTGGTTTCCATCTGAATGGAATCTGATTAAATTGGAATTTGACAAAAATTATATTAAATCAAAGAGTTGATACTAGAGTTTGATACAAAACTATTTCAGTAACTCAGAATATTTTATTAAGCTTGTTTATTTATTTATTTTGTGGAGTTGCTTTTTGTTGTTGTTTTATTTATTTATTTTATGTTTTTATCTCTGTGCAGGACACACTGATAAAAAAATAAATAATAATACCTAAGAGAATTGAAGGAATTATAATTCAACCCTTGTTTAAAATGAAGGAGTTGAGGAAAAAAAAATTTTGGGATTATAAATGAGCTATGTTGTTTTGAATAAAGATTTGTATGCAAACAAACTCAAGCAGAGTTTGGTGAGCGCTCCTTTGTTGGCTCTTTACTAAGTAATCTGTTTGTAAATGCATACGGACAAAGGAATGGCTAGGGGAGGGATAATTGATACTTTTCTATGGTTAATATATGGTTGGTTATACGATAAATATGATATGTAGACAAATATATATAATGTTCTATAACATCTAATGGTGAGGCTATTTCAATGTATTCAAGTTGATTTTAAATTACCTCAAGTGGGAAATTCCACAATATGAAACTCAAATGACTTGGATAAAATGTTTACCTTTAGTATTGTTGCGAATAAGAACACAACCACAGAAAAATTTAGGATTGTCTCCTTATGAGTTGTATGGTGTGTCATTTATGCCTGGAAACATTTCCATGGACTCTTTAGTAACAAGGGATAAAGTAATAAGATATTATGTGCATAAACTGTTGCAGTATCTTGATCATTGCAGGAAACAGCTTGCTGATCCAAACACCCCCTTTGGAATTTCCTGTCCACAAGTTTGAGGTGGGACAGTGGATCCTGATCCGAATGTGGAAGGAGGAGAAATTGCAACCTAAGTGGGAAGAACCATTCCATGTGTTGCTGACCTCTGAAACTGCAATTCGGATGAAAGAAAAAGGGTGGACTCATTATACACAAGTGAAGGGACCAGTAGCTGAACCAAAAGGACAGTGGACCTGTGTTCCAGGTGATGACTCGTTTAAATTGATACTTTGTAAAATTCCTGTTTAAATGTGTTGGTACTGTGCTGTAAATGCCATGTTGATTGTTGTTGTTTCCATTGTATTGACTGTGTAAGATGTACTGGATGTGAAGAACATTTTGGACCATACGATATAGTACTCATTGAAAAGAAATTGAAACCTTTTGAGGAATATACTGAGACATTGACTGGAGTGGTAAGATATACTCTAAAAGATACTCCTTCAATCCAATTAGTCCAGGAAGAACAACGAGAAGCCTTCATAAAATATCACAGTTTAGAAGAAGATTAATATAAAATATAATTAATATAAATTAATATAAAATGTGAATATTTGTCCCTAGCTGTATATCTCTCCCTCTCTAGGGAGTGATATAGAAGAGCAACAGAAGCAGAAGGATGTGAGCCTGCATTACCAATGCCACCAAAGGGGTATATATTTCAATATATATGTCAATTAAATAAAACACAATATTCAGTTTGTAAGGGAAGAGACAAAAGGATACAATGCTATGATCCATCAATGCCAACATATTTGAATTTCAGTATATATGTGGGTTTAGCTAAAGTAGGAGTGAGACAGAGACCTGAAGGTGAAGAAAGATTAATATACGTCAATTCTACTAAAATATTAGAAAAAGGGGACAGAAAAAGCTTTGATACAATTTGATGCATGCACAGTATTAAGTTTATCTTATCTCGCCACAAAGTGTGGAGACTCTAGTTGGATCATAGCATATAAACAAAATCATAAATATATGTTCCACTAATTTGAACTTTGCAAATGGAAACCCCAATCAATGGTTACTTTGTGGGGGATCTATTAAATGTTCAGGGTGGAGTTGTGTGTGTGGTTACAGTAGAGGAGGTTATCCAGAATGTAATGGTATTACCAAATTTAAAAGAATATAGGAACTAATACGATGGAGTTGGAAATCACTAAGAACCATTCTGATATAATGAGTTATGGATTTGGGATAGACGGAACAGGAACAGATCCATTAACTTATATCACTATAAAGAAAGAAAAGATATATTAGCTAAGGAAGGAGGGGTATGTGGGAAGTTTAATTTAACGAATTTTTGCTTACAGATAGATGAAACAGGTGCAGAAGTGAAGCAATTAACCACTGAAATGAGACAACTTGTACATGTTCCAGTCCAGACTTGGACTGGTCTTTTAGATAAAGGGGGATTTTTGGGAGGAATCTTTCGCAATTGGAAACAAGCATTATTCATGGTGGGCATAATATTATTAGAACTAATGTGTTTGCCCTGCCTAATTCCTATGATTAAAAATTTAGTCCATACAACTGTAACAAGTATAATGAATGGCATCAAACGGGAGGAAAAGATACAGGCACTGTTAGCCTTTAAGGAAATCAAAGACAAAGTAGACATAATAGAGAATAAACACAAAGAAGAAATTGAAATGAATTTAAGAAGATTCTAAAATTTTATTAAGTATGAAAAGAAAAAGGGTGGATCTGTTAGGAATAAAATTTTAGAATAAAAAGTTAAGTGACACATACTCTGTAACATTTCTACATGCAGACAGAAAGATTTCTACACAAAATTTCTACAGGTAGACTGCAAGATTTCTACACAATTTCTACATGTACACGTACCTTGGAAGAGTTCTGCATGTAGGCTATAGGATTTCCACACTGAGCTATAGGATTTCATGATAAAGTACATATAAGGGAATAGGTGAAGCAAAATAGTAAGAGGCAGGGATAATGTATTTTGTTTAGGCGATCCTGATAAGATTGTAACCTCAGAGGAGGGGCCAAGGCGTCGGGATAGAATGTATATAATGTGTGTTTTTGCTGTGACCAGGTGTGGCTCAAATATTTATTTAGAGTCCACCACGCTTTGCAAACCGTTGTAGCCAATAAATCTCTGTCTAATTTCAACTTGCTGTTTGGTGTTATTCAGTGGGCTAGAATTTCTACCAACAAAAGAACACACAGAATTTGACCAGATACGTTAAAAACAGTTGAAAAGTTGATTAAGAAACTCTGTTAAAGATGGAGGAAGAACAAGTAAAAGAAACAATGATAATATGGGCAAAGAACTTTGGATATAATATAGAATTAGAAGACTGACAAAAGCTATGGGAAAGAAATGTTAAATTAACGACAACAGTGGCATATAAAGAAAACTTATATAAAATGTTTTACAGATGGCATATGACACCAGTGAGATTAGCAAAAATATTTAAAAATACTTCAAATAAGTGTTGGAAACAGAAACAAAGACCATGTACTTATTACCATATCCGGTGGACATGCCCTAAAACAAAAATATTTTGGTTAAAAATACATTTATTGTTGGAGAAAATGACTAAAAAACAAATATACTTTAAGCCAGAATTATTTTTGTTAGGAATAATAGGAGCAAATTATGAGAAAGATTGTATATATTGAATTTTACACGTACTAACTGCAGCAAGAATTGTATTTGCTCAACATTCGAAAAATGAAAATTTACCAACTGAAGAAGAATTAAGAAAATTTTAGAATGTGCAGAAATGGATAAATTGAAGATAAAGATAAATTAAAGATAAAAGAGAAAGAAGATTCAGTATATTTTAAAACATGGGATAACTTCTATCAATGGCTAGAAAAATGAGTTAGAGAGAAAGGAATGTGATATGTAACTTTGAATATATATTAGCAAGAAGACTATCAAGCCATGTTAATTCACATATTGTTGATGATAATTAACTATTGTCTATTATTTTTTGTTAAACACATGAACCCCAATATTATGCTATTTGCTAAATATTGAGAATGTTATTTGAAAAAATCCTAATCCCAACCCCAACCCTAATCCTAACCCAAATCCCAACCCCAATCCTGACCTATATACACATATAGTATATATAAAAAAAAACTCAACTGTTTCTGGTTTCTAATCTACAGAGAGACCATGACTCCTGAGGTACCCCACAAAGGGGAGCCTAGCACTATGTCTCCCACCCAGCCAAAGCAATTGGGAGGAAAATCACCATAAAATGGGGCCACCATCGCCAAACCTCAGAGACACTCTAGAAAGACATTGTAGTTAATAGAATAGAAAGCCACTAAGAAATCAAGAAGTGCAATATTGATTGCACAACTTCCATCCCTGATCCACCAAGGCCATTAACAAACATGACCAAGCAAGAGAGATGATATACCAAACCGAGGAGAAAAAACATGTGATGTACAAATTCTATAAAAACCTTTATAAAAATGACGTAAAGATTAGTGAAGCAAGAATACTACGAAGCAAGAATCTTACGAACGCTGAACTGCCAAAGGTCCCGGAAAAATACCAAAATATATTAAATGAAGATATAACACTCCAGGAAATTATGGAAAAGATTAAAAAACAAAAAAAGCAATAAAACACCAGGCCCTGATGGATTACCATTGGAAATATATAAAAACCTTCAAGAACTTCTGGGCCCAACTTTATTGGATGTATTTAACGAAGTACTAAAAGTAGCAAAGACCTCAAATTCATGAAAAGAAGCAATCATTACACTAATACCTAAAGAAAATTCTGATTTAACTCTCATAAAAAACTATTTTATTTATTAAATAAATTTTATTAAATACAGATTATAAGATTTTTATGATAATTGTTGGAATATTCATGAGCAGGAAGAGTCATGTGGTAACTCAGTCAGCCAATGTGAAAAAAGTGCTACTGAGTCTGTGCAAAAAGGTATTGAGTTAGAAGCTGGATTTTTTATTCAGTCTCAGGTCCGTCTCTGTATCTCTCTGTAAGATGTCTTCATTGAGCTATGTTCCTAAAAAGAAGAATGTATGGTATTGTAAATATTTTGATATGAATAAAAAAAGGTTATTTTGAATCAGCTAAACGCAGTCAATTGTAAAA